TCCATTCTGACAGCTGGACATGGTGGCACTTGCCTACAGTCCCAAATACTTGGTGTCAGGGTCCCGCCCCAGGGGCAGGGTCCACTAAGACCTGTGGAAACTGCCAGTGAAATGAAGAAATACAGTTAGAAACAACGGTAAAGGAGGAGACATGAGACAGAGTAGAATTAAAAGTAGAAACTCAGGGGTCCATTGCCCATTTGTGGAATTCTGTCAATGGCCTAAGAGATGATTAACAAACTGAGAGAGAAGCTGGAAGTTAGGAAACTTTAAAACCAAGCTGGAGAATCTCTAAAAAGAATTCGTGAACCAAGAAAAAGTAGCTCTGAAACTATTAACAATGATGAAATTTCTTTAAAAATAAAAGTAATGGCCAGCTCTCACCTGTAATTCTAGCACTTTGGGAGGCCGAGGTAAGAGTATTACTTGAGCTCAGGAGTTTGAGGCCAGTCTGAACAAGAGCAATAAATATCCCTGTCTCTACTAAAAATAGGAAAATTAACTGGGTGTAATGGTGGGTGCCTATAGTCTCAACTACTTGGGAGGCTGAGACAAGAGGATTGCATGAGCCCAGGAGTTTGAGGTTGCTGTGAGCTATGATGTTATGGCACTCTAGCCTGGGGCAACAGAGTGAGACTTGGTCTCAAAAAAGAAAAAAAGAAAAAAAAACAGAATAAAGGTTCAGTGGTGCCTGTGGCTCAAAGGCGTAGGGTGCTGGCCCCATATGCCGGAGGTGGTGGTTTCATACCCTGCCCGGCCAAAAACCGCAAAGAAAAAAAAAAAGAATAAAGGTTCTATCAAGTACATTAAAATTATTATGACTGTTTAAAAACAGCAATTCTACCTAACCCATTCACTTCTTAAGTAAAACTTAGATCTTAATAATTTTGTTCACGTAATCTTTATACTTTAAAACTATTTTTAAGACTGACTTTACTCACAAAAACACTCCAAAATTCTGACCACAGTCAAAATCAGATTCAAAGGCAGGAATATGAAATTGTTTTAATTTCACTTTTAGGTTTCAAGTTTAACCAAGCTTAAATAAACATCTGACAGTTTTATAAGAATTGCTTTACAACTCAATATTCAAAGGTCAGAATTTACAAGGCATAGACCATGCTGCCATTTTTAAAATAAGTGGTTTCTGTAAACTGTGGTCTAGCATGCAGGGGCGTTTTTGTTGAATTTTGGATCTCAGTTATGAGTCAGAATGAATAAAGAAGTTATAAACATATACAACACACACACACATACACATGTGCACACAAAAGCGGGAAATGCATCAGAAGGATAAAGTACCAGGAGATGGACTAGTTCTGAATTCCTATGTCATCAAGTAAATCTTGACCAGTACTATAAAAGAGGATGGGATGAGGAATCCAGGTGCTAGTCCCAGTTCTGTCAAAAACTAGTGCAGTAACCTTAGGGATGTCATTTGACACATTGTAGGCCTGTTTCCTCTCCAGTGATTCTAAGTCTTAAGTCTCTTAATAGTCTGATTCTATTGGTCAGTAGCTTAGAGCTATGGGAAACCCAGTAATTACACTAGGCAGCTCTCATATTTTTGTGTACCTAGGAGGTCAAGCCATATACAATAATAAGAGAACTTGGGATTAGCCACAGGGAAGAAGAAACAAGAAAAGTGTACATAGCTCCTGCTGGGACTGGTTCACTCCTGTTGTACCTAGTAAAAGAGAAAGCACCTCTGCCAATTTTCTAGAGAATGATAGGAGTGGTTCTTATGTCTTACCACACCCACCATAGTTGGTTTTTCCAAAAAAAAAAAAAAAAACCCACTGGGGACTCAACAAAAATGTTGTGAAGCACAAAGTACTATTAGTCACTCTATGACTAATAGGACAGATCAATTCTAAACTAAAGAAACAAAACAGCTTTCTCTTTCTCATATAAAAAGAAATAAACAGCCTTCATTCCAGTCAAGGAGTCCTAGAGGACCACAATAAATAATCTGTGTTGCACAGATACTTAGCAATAAATACAGTATTAAGCCAAAGAAAATGAATTTTCTATAGAGCCAAAAGGTTCAAAAGCAATGAAATTCAACATAACTTTAGTTCTCAACATAGCCTTTTAATGTAATCCAGATTATAACTCCATCTTCTAAAGTAGAAAGCAGTATTAAAGACTCACTGAGATTCATCACCTCTTTTATAGCAAGAACTAATCAGATCATCCTGTGGTAGAATGGTATCAATAAAATAGAAGTCACCATCATATGAACGGGTTCATGGGAGCCAAGGATCAAATGAGGCCAACTCATGAAGTTATTTCAGGTGGCTCCCAAGATTGCTTTCTGGAAGAGCTCTTCCATAACAGGACAGTCCTGGAGAACCTGTCCTTCACTGTCCCCAACCCCACCATTTTCATATATGCTTATGTTCATGCTTGATCTTTGTCAAATGTGGCTAAAGACCATCCCTTGGTCATATAAGCAACCATCTATCTGTGACTTGTGGCATTCCTTTCAAGAAGTGTATAGTGGCTCGGCACCCATAGCTCAGTGAGTAGGGCACCAGCCACATGCACGAAGGCTGGAGGGTTCGAGCCCAGCCTGGGCCTGCTAAACAATGACAACTGCAACCAAAAAATAGCCGGGCATTGTGGCAGGTGCCTGTAGTCCCAACTACTTGGGAGGGTGAGGCAAGAGAATCGCTTAAGCCCAAGAGTTTGAGGTTGCTGTGAGATGTGATGCCACAATACTCTACCGAGGGCAACATAACAAGACTGTCTCCAAAAAAAAGGAAGTGTATAGACCTGGGGTTCTTAATCCAATACCCATGCATGGGCTTTAGGCGGTACATGAATGGACTTCATATAGTCACTGAAGTCCCTGAAAGCTTTTGTCTATGTGCACAGTCTTCTGAGGTGAGAGCCCTTGAACAGCCCAAAGATCCTCACAGGCTGCGAACCAAGGAAAGCTAAGAACTACTGGTTTAGTCCTATGTATGAAACAGAAAAAATCTACCAAAAAGTGTCTATATGAATGAGATAGGAAGTAATGCCTGTTATTTGCAGTGCAAAATAACAAAGGGTACCATCTATTCAAAACAAAAGAAAACTAGGATCTGATGAGCAGAAGCTATAGTGCATAGGACCAGATAGTTCACTCTCTTCATCCACTAGTCTAGACAAGGAAAATGAAGAGAGGTTCTGCTCCAGAGCACAAATCACATAACTACTAAGTGACAAAGCTGAGCATCAAAATAGGCCAGGTTTCTGCCAGGATGCCAGACCATAAAATTATTTTTATACTTTTTTAGAATGAGTTTGATCAATATTCTCCATATCTTAAGGTAGCTTCAATACAGGAACTTGATACATTTAAATAACCCCAAATCATCAATCAAATCAGAGATCTTTCACAAAAGCCAGCATACAGCAGACTTAAAAGGTGAACCCCTTCTAGTCCTTATCTTAAACATTGTTATTGTTATTAAATTTAAAGCCTTTTTAATTTTGTGAAGGCAAAAAGTGGAAACCTGATAAACACATGTATATGTAAAAAAAAAATTTTTAAAAAAAGGTGAACCCTCACCCCTCCTGTTGAATTATGAATGCAACTTAAAAAAAGCAGGACACTTAAAAAAAGCAGGACACGTCACAAACTCATTGAGGCACTTCTAAATGCACTGGGAAAAGATACCTACTGATAGTCCTTCAAAAAATACAGAGTTGGTCATGCTAACTTCAGATTGTATCTGTACAATTTCAATCCACAAGCTCCTAAACCTTCTCTTTCAAAGGTGAATATTAATAGCACTGCCTAAACACTAAATGATTTGTTTTCAAGCCAGGTAATGGGGTCATTCATAAATTAAACTGAGTACAACCTTTCCAGTCCCATGTTCACAAACACTACATGTGGTAGAACTAAAAAGACTTGGCAATTATTCTGACATCAGATTAAAAAAATAATTACTATCATAAAAAAGTTACGGAACCGTTTGCTCCAATGCCAAACTTTCCCTCAACACATGAAATTTAAAGTAACCAAAAATTCAGTCTCACCTGAGAAGTGAAACCAAAGTGATATCTGAACCCAAATTCAATGACAACATGTCCTTCAACTTCAAAGGAAGTGCTTTATTTATGAAAAAAACTTCAACGGCATATATTATGGTATACACAACGTCTCCAAAGATGTACATTATGGTAAAGTTTCTGATTGCATTTCAATTTTATTTAGTCTTTCCTGCAAGCCCTGTCCCTAGTCTCCTGCCCCCAAAGGTGTAACTAGAATAGGCCTTAGGAAGCACCTGTGGCCTGCAAAGGCTTTGACCAATTCTCAGAGCTTTCTTGGCTGCAGTCTACAACCAGGTACGGCCACTCTATTTTGAGTCTAGGAGACTAACCCTGTTACCTCCCAAGTGACCACAAGTGGACAAGATCAGTTTAGGAGAATGTGCGTTGAGTTTTCCCATAAAGCCAGCAGCCCCCACTGCTCAGACTCCGAAAAGGATAGAAGATTTGGTCACGATCCAGGCGGCCAAAGAATACGGCTCATGAGTGTGTCTGCTCAGAATCCCATAGCCTGTGGCCGGGCTCTGGTGTCATGAGCACGCGAAGCAGCAGGGATCACCAGGGCACTAAGAGCGAAGAGGGAGGGAACCATGCGAGGTTAGGAACCTGCAGGTGTCACCACAGAGGTGAGGAGGTCGCCGCGGGCCGGCACAGCCAAGTGACTAGGAACGTGGCTCTGGATTCGGACAGACTGACCACATTCTCAGACTGTGACCTTGGTACGTGGCTAGACCGCTCTGCACCCCAGTTTCTTCATCTCTAGAAGAGGTGGGTGTTCCAGCGGAAAACGCGCCTCAGAGCTCTTGGCGCGGCGCCTGGCGCATAGTAAGCGCTCCCTACAAGTGAGCTCTCTGGCTCCTCTCGCCGCCCGGAGGAACTGGGGAAGCCCCGCGCGGGGAAGTCCCCAGGAGGCGGATCCGGAGCTGGGGTGGAGGGTACTCAGGCGAGGGACTTACCGAGCACATCAGCGGAGCGGTGCCGGGCCACGAAGCACGCGTCGTCCCCGTAGCACGCGCCCTTCTTGAGAAGGCCCTTACGGAAGTCCTTGCCGAAGCCGCAGCCGGCCGTCACCAGCCCGTAATCGCCACCGCCACCACCGCCACCGCCGCCGCCGGCTCTGGGGTCGGTCTGCGAAAGGCCGCCGAGCACGGCGCGGGCCACAAGCCGCCCGTATGAGAGGACCGAGAACATCGCCGCCGCCGCCCCCCCGAGGAGGCGGGGGGTCGGGGGAGCAGTAGGTCGCGGAGGCCCGGAGCCGGCTCTCTCCTCAGCCGCAGCCGCGCCGCCGCCGGGACGCTCCTCAGGGCGGCGCGCAGTAGCCGCCGCCGCCCCTGCCCGACGCGCGGGGCCTCGCACACGCTCAGCCGCGCGCACCGGAGCCAGAGCGAGGTCAGAGCCGGCGGGTCCTCCGCCTCAGCCCAACTGAGGTCCCGGCTGCAGCCGCCGCTGCCGCCGCCATCTTCCGCTCCACTAGCGTGTTCCGGGCCGCGCCGACAGCGCCGCCCCCTCTAGCCACGCCCCAGGCCACGCCCCGATTCGCGGTCCATACCAAAGCTCCGCCCCTCGAGCTTTCTATCCTATGCAATCACCGAAGTTGAGCATGCGCGGAGGATGTGTCCGCAGTGTCTCCTGGGAGTTATAGTCCTATAGTTGTAGTCACTTTTGACTTTGCTGCTTAGGCTCTAAGTCTAAGACCTGAAGATTCCCCACATGCTGGGTTTAGGTTAACTTAGTGAGAATTACAGGTGGTCTGTTTGAAGCTTTTCTCCCCTATTTGAACTGTATATTTTAAAGACTTAAAAAATAATAATAATGCCACCATCTCTTTAAACAAAACCTGAAAGAAACCAGGATTCCAGTCACAAATTGAGAAACAGAGGTACACACGAATCTAATGGCATATTCACAATTAATGTACTGGAAAGGTTTAAGGTGGCAATCTGTTTGAAAAGAAGAGACTATTTGCATAATCTTTTAGGAAAAATTGAGAAAATGTAATATATCTCTATCAGAGTGGAAGGGGACACCGATGGTGTCTTGTCCCTTTTGCTCTGGCCATGCTCACAGCTGCCTCGAGACCTTTGCCCTTGCTCTTCTTTTTACCCACTAGAATGAAATTCCATTATTTGAGGGTCTTGTGGGGTTTTTTGTTGCTGTATCCCCACAACACGTGGGCATATAGTAAATACTCACATGAATGAATGAAAAAACAAAAAAAATTATACTAGATTCTAAGTTCCACAAGGGCAAGGATTGTCTACCATTGAATTATTAGAATCTAGTGCAATGTTGGGCATACAGTAGGATGCTTGTAAATATCTGTTAAATAAAAAAAGAAATAATGGAATAGAAACCAAAAATAATAAAAGAAAGTAATGTTTGTTGAATAAAGGAGTGATTGAATGAATGGAGTTCACAAAAATAAAGAAACTTGAACTTTGGGGTAATCTAATTTGAAATAATTTTTAGTTTTATTGAAACATAAATATATGTTACTTAGAAACATTGGTTCTTTTCCAGTTCCCTTTTGAAAGGATCATAGTTACTTTGGGGATTCCCATCTTGTTCTTAAGTGATTCTTTTTAATACTTACTTAATATGCCTAATATCCTGCCAACCATCCACTCAATGCACATTATTCTGTTATTCTAATTACTGTCATCATTAAACACTTCTGCAGTTCACAGTGTGCCAAGTACTCTATACGTTTCTGTCCTCAAGAGTTTTCTTCAAAATTGGATTGAATAAATCATTTCACGCAGTGAGTAGTGTTTTGTCAAATATACAGACCCCCTCTGAAATGTTCATTTTCTGGACAAGAGGTATAGCAATTCTAACAAAGCAGTCACACCTTGCCCTTTTTTATGGCACGAGAATTGGAGAACACCCAAAAGAGGGACTGGCGCCTCTCGGAATCCTTTGCTTGGCATTTATGTCTTTGCCAGCTGTGCCAAAGGTTGTTCTTTCAAGCATACACACCGCTACCAAATCCCAGCCAGAGCATCAGGTAATTCTACCCCAAGGACAAACTTTTTAAAATAGCATGTCAACCCCTATTCCTTGCTTTGTCAGACTCCTTCTGACTGGTCCTACCTTTCATTTTCAGGGCATATATATTACCTAATTTCTGTGTCAGTCACAAGAACCGGTTAGATGAGAGGTTAGGAACACAAGATGTGACTCTAAAGCCAGTAACCTCTGTTCTGATGGTTAGTTGATAAGGTGCCTTTAGTTTCTGGCAAATGAGTTGCTCACAGATGCAAGTTGCAAACAGATTCCTTTCTTAAAGTTCCTTTGCACTTTTTAAAAGGAGAGGAGACATGGCCTCAGGTTCCCTTGAATCATTTATTCCAGAGTCACCTCTGAAGTTTCACCATCATGAGAAAAGCTAGGGGAGGGTACTTTGTAAAACACCTCCCCTCCCCTCCCTGAGGAGCACAATTCATTTTGACACTTTCCTAGACTTAAAAGGTCCTGAGTTTTCTTCCTTAATAGAGTTACATTCTTAGCACTTCGAGGATTCCAGGGAGGTCAGTTGCCACACTCAGAGGGGAATGAGTGGTTAAAATAACATCTGTGCTCCCAGAGCACCTCTATAGCATTAGAAAAGAGTTCTGTACTGGAGTCACCCCCAGCAAAAAAACAAACAAAACCAAACAAAACTATGAATTTCCTAGTGAGATTTTTCTGCCAGACTGCTGGTACACTGATACACTGATCCCTTTGGATTTCTTTTTTCCTAACCTATTCAAAAGAAGCACTAATTAGTTTACGGCAAGGTTTCTGAACTTTGGCACTATTGACATTTTGGGCAGGGTAGGGTTTTTTTTGTTTCGTTTTTTTTTTTTTCTTGATATGAGGTCTGGCTCTGTTGCCTGGGCTAGAATGCAGTGGCACAATCATCGCTTACTGCAACCTTAAACTCCTGGGATCAAGCAATCCTCCTGCTAAGTAGCTGGGATTACAGGCACATGCCACAACACCCTTTTTTTGTTTGTTTGTTTTGTAGAGATAGGGGTCTCACTGTGTTACTCAGGCTCTTTTCAAACTCCTGGCCTCAAGGGATCCTCCTGCCTCAGACTTCCAAAGTGCTGGGATTATAAGTGTGAGCTACTTTGCTTGACCTGGGCAGGATAATTTGTTGTGAGGCTGTCCTGTGCATTGGAGGGGACATAACAGCATCCCTGACCTCTACCCACTAGATGCCAGTACACCCCTTCCACCCCTAGTTGGGACAACCAAAAATGCCTCCAGATATTGCCAAATGTCCTCTGGGGTGCAAAATGGTCCCAGATTTAAAGCTGCTGGGTTACAGCAATGCCATGCAAATGAGTAAATATTTGTTGAGTGCTTGTTATGTTCAAGGCTCTAGGCTAAGTTCTCCAAAAAAACAAGCGGAAAAAAAAAAAAAACAGTCTGTGACTTCATGGCAGTCACAGTTAGTAGGAGGGCTAAAATTTAGTAAATACAGAGAATAATAAGCACAATCAGTTGAAATAAAAGAGGGGACTAGGAAGAGGAAAAATGAGACCCAAGGGGTTGGAGAACATTCAGGGGCCTTTTATGAAGATGTGAGACTTGTGAGAAACCTGAATGGACAAACAGAGGTCTGAGGAAGGCGTATAATCATTCCAAGAGGATGAAATAGAAATTCTGCAAATGCAAAGTGTGATTGCAAGCAGTCCAGTGCAACTTGAGCTTAGGATTTAGAAGAGTAGTAAAAAAATGGGGGGAGTTGGGTGTGGTGGTTCACCCCTGTATTCCTAGCTATCCCCAGGCCAAGGCAGGAGGATCACTTGAGCTCAGAAGTTTGAGGACAGCCTGGGCAAAATGGTAAGACCCCTGTCTCTAAAACTAATCAACCAATATGCTAAGTTAAAGGAGCCAGACATGAAAAGCCACATATTACATTGTGGCTCCATTTACATGAAATGTCCACGATAGGCAATCCATAGAGACAGAAAGTAGATTAGTGGTTGCCAGGAGCTGGGGCAAGGGGCAAATGTGGGGAGTGACTGTTCATGGCTACGGAGTTTCCTTTTGGGGTGATGAAAGTTCTGGAATTGAATAGTAGTGATGGTTGCACAACCTTGTAAATATGCTAATAACCACTGAACTGTACGCTTTAAAAGAGTAAATATTATGGTATTAATTTCTATCTTAATTAAAAAATAGTTTAGGAATTGTAGCAGGGGGCCTTATATGCCAAGCTAAGGGTACTTAATGCTGGAGAAAACAAGGGGTCATGAAATACCTTTAATATGCCAGATAATAGTAATGATGATAATAGTAATGACAGGCACAGCACCTGTAGTTCAGTAGTTAGGGCACTGATCATATACATCAGGGCCAGTGGGTTTGAACCCAGCCCAGGCCTGTTAAACAACAATGACAACTACAACAACAATAACAGAAAAATAGCTGGGCATTGTGGTGGGCACCTGTAGTGCCAGCTACTTGGGAGAGTGAAGCGAGAGAATCACTTAAGCCCAAGAGTTTGAGGTTGCTGTGAGCTGTGACTCCATGGCACTCTACTGAGGGCGACATAGTAAGAAACTGTCTCAAAAAAAACAAAAAGTAGGGTGGCACCTGTGGCTCAAAGGAGTAGGGCGCCAGCCCCATATGCCAGAGGTGGCAGGTTCATATCCAGCCCCGGCCAAAAACTGAAAAAAAAAAAAAGAAGTAATAGTAATGACAGTGAGATCGATAGATACCACAGACTATGCACTTACCATGTGCTCTGCCTGCAATATCTTTTCTGACCATCTATTTAAACCATCTAACAGTCCCGTTTACATTTTTCTTCAAAACACAAAACATTTATTTTGTTTAATGTTTGTCTCCTCCTTGACTAAACAATAAGTTCCATGTGAGCAGGGAATTTTGTCCATTTTATTCATAACTACTTCAAGTGTCCTGAGTAGTGCCTCTCGTATAAGTGCTAAATAGATACCAAATGGGTAAATGCTGCTGAAGGAAAGAACCTTAGAGATCATGTAGAACAAGCAACTCATTCTACAGCTGAGGAGTGGCAGTGAGTAATATGTTCATTTTACAGGAAGCTACTAGGCAGAGCTGGGCTGAACTGGAAAAGGTGTCTCTGGGATGCTTAATGCCTGCCCTGCTAAGCCCTTTTGAAGGAACTAGCCATTGGCTGTTCTTTCCATTTAATTCATCTTGCTTTTTGTCTTCTGTGCTGATCATATTTCTCCCATCTAGAATCCATTCCCCTGCTTCTCTGATTATAGTATACTGATTTTCCTTGGAGGAATAATCCAACACCCACTAGGTTTCAGGACTCCAAGATTGGACGCCTAAGGCTGGTCTAGCCAATCACAGCATTGCATTCTCTTGGTTGCAGTGATTGGTCTAGAGAGAAGGCACATGACCCAAGCCAGACCAATGAAACTTGATTATGGGATTTTGCTGAAAGTATTAGGAAGGAGAAATTATTGCCAAAGATGCAAACTTAGAACTGCTCTTGGCCTTCTTTGTTACTACCTGGGAAGAAGCAGCCTGAGAATGAAGCCAATACAGAGAGAAGCAGAGATGGTAAGAAACAGAGGCCTGGTAAAATAGATCAAACCTCTGAATTGAGCTTTGACTGAGGATCAGTCTCTGAACTCATGAATTCCCCAGTTCACTTGAGCCGTTTT